TACTCATCGGGAAACAAACAACAATTTGGAAGTGCTGTTCGGGGGTCTGCGTGACCATCCCTTGACTCTGCTGCCTATTTGCCCATTTGGCCACCGCCTCCAGGCTTTCCAACATGTCTGGCAACAGGTCACACAGGACCACTGAGTCCTGGAAATCAGTCAGGTTACTCCATCCCTTTCCTATCTTCCCCGCCCACCCTTCCCTGTCCCTCTTCAGGGACCCCTCTCACAAGCACCTCCTCCCTGTAGAGATGGCTCATCTTCTCCACCTAGGTGCAGTGGAACATGTACCAACGCAACATTGGGGAGAAGGGTTCTACTCCCACTACTTTCTGACCCAAAAGAAGGGAGGGGGATGGAGACCTATACTGGACCTATGCCAACTGAACACATTTGTACATGTACAAAAATTCAAGATGGTCACATTAGGCACAATAATACCCGCCCTGGAACAAGGGGACTGGTTCACAGCCCTCTACCTACAAGACACCTATTTCCATATATCCATTCATCCAGCACACAGACGCTTCCTGCGATTCACACTCATACACAATCACTTTCAATACAGTGTACTTCCATTCAGTCTCTCCACAGCACCGAGGATATTCTCCAAGATCCTAGCTGTAGTTGTAGCCCACCTCCGCAAACATGGGATTATACCTTTCCCCTACTTAGATGACTGCCTTATCAAAGCCAGCTCCTACAACGAGACGTTAAAAGCGACAAACTTTACCATCTCCCTCTTCCACAGTCTAAGCTTGCAAATAAATTTCCAAAAATCCACCCTGATACCTACACAGCAGATAGAGTTCATTGGAGCTCACCTGGACTCAATTAGAACCAGAGCCTCACTTCCACACACCAGATTCCTCACTATTACGCATCTCATACGCACAATCTCTGTTCTCCCTAGAATACAGGGACAGACCTGCCTACAGCTTCTTGGTTATATGGCAGCCACCACCTTCATGGTCAAATACGCAAGGCTGCACATGAGATGCCTTCAGGGTTGGCTCAATTCCAACTACAAACCCAGCAGACACAGTTTCTGCATAACATGACTCCGCCAGCGAACATATTGGCCTCCCTACATTGGTGGACAAAACCAGAGAACCTATGCAGGTGTTTCCTTCCATCCACACTCCCCAGTACTCAGGCTCAGCAAGGACGCATCCCTGATAGGTTGGGGAGTGCACCTAGGCAACCACAAGGTACAGGGCCTCTGGTCCCTATCAGAGACGCATCTGCACATCAATCTTCTAGAACTCAGAGCCATCAGTACGCTTGGCTTCACTTTCTTCCCACCATAAAGAACAAGTCCATTCAAGTTCTGATGGACAATATAGCATGTATGTTCTATATCAACAGGCAGGAGGGAGCATGATCGCATTCCCTATGAACAGAAACCATCCGATTATGGAATTGGTGCATAAAACATCACATAGAAATCACTGCTTTCTACCTGCCTGGGTGTCACAACACTATTGCCGACACACTCAACAGATACTTCTCCAAAGAACACGAATGGGAATTGCATCCCGCAATACTCCGACAGCTCTTCTTCCACTGGGGCACTCCATCGATAGACCTATTTGTCACTCCTCAAAACTGCAAATGCCATCTATTTCGCTCCAGAGCGGGACTCAGGAATACATCTCTAGAGGTTGCGTTCCTCATTCCTTGGAACATCTCCCTGACATATGCTTTTCCACCGATATACAGGGTTCTACGCAAGATCACAGAGGACAGGGCCCGGGTCATACTTATTGCCCCAGCTTGGCCCAGACAGACATGGTATCTTTACCTGCTACTCATGTCCATCCATCCTCCAAGGACTCTCCCTGACAGGTCAGATCTGCTGTCCCAGAACTGCGGTCGGCTTCTCCATCCGCAGCTCCGGAAACTCCATCTGACGGTGTGGTTCCTTCATGGTTTCAATCCCACAAATCAGCCTGCTCGGAACAGGTCCAATATATCCTCCTGCACAGTAGAAGGGACTCCACTTATAAGACTTACCTGCAAAAGTGGAAATGCTTCTCCATCTGGTACTTCCACAGATGCCTGACACCCCAGACTGCAACCCTCCCTGATATCTTAAACTACCTTTTCGAACTAAAACAGGACGGGCTTTTGCTCAGTTCTATCAGAGTACACCTTGTGGCCCTTACCACCTTCCATGACACTCTGGATGGTTATTCACTTTTTGCACACCCCGCCATGAAATGCTTCCTCACAGGCCTGCAGAATCTCTAACTTGAGATTCATTCACCAGTAGCCTACTGGAATCTAAACCTAGTTCATTACCGTCTCATGAAACCTCCTTTCCAACCCCTGGTACCTCATCCCTGCTCCACATGTCCATGAAAGTGGCTTTCTTGGTTGCCATAACATCAACGAGAAGGGTTGGTGAAATAAATGCCCTGATGGCCTACCCTCCCTACACCATTTTATCCAAAGACAAGGATACTATGTGACCCCACCCCAAATTCCTCCCCAAGGTGCAGTCTACCTTCCACCTTTACAAGCCAATACATTTACCTGTATTCTATCCCAAGCCTCACATGACTCCACAGGAAGTGGTGTTACATACCCTCAACATCTGACAGGCTCTTGCATTCTATCTTGACAGAACTAAACCATTTCGTAAATCCCCTAGGCTATTTGTTTCTGCTACCGAGAGATCAAAGGGTGATGCTATCTCTAAGCAAAGACTCTCCAAGTGGATCTTGGACTGCATCAGATCCTGCTACCAGATCCAGTGTTCAACCACCAGAGAATGTCATAACTCATTCTACTAGAGCAATGTCAACATCGGTTGCCTTCCTTCACAACGTACCTATTACAGACATATGCAAGGCGGCCACATGGACATCTGACCACACATTCGCCAATCATTATGCTATCACACGAGATACCATGGTAGACGCCATAGTCGGCCATATGGTACTGTCTACCGTTATCCCTGCCGCAACTCCAAAATCCCACCAACCATAGTGGGTACTGCTTCACATTTACCTGGAGTGGAGCACCCACAGGGACAGCACTCGAAGAAGAGAAAGTTACTCACCTTGCAGTAACTGAGGTTCTTCAAGATGTGTGTCCCTGTGGGTGCTCCACTCCCCACCCTCCTCCCCTCTACTTTGGAGTACTAATCAGACAACTCTACGTTGGAGAAAGAAATGAGGGGGGTCCGGGACGCGTGCGCTCAGGCAGACCCTAATGATGCTGTGAGACAGCAACTGAGTGCGTGCCTCCCGACCAGGCACTGCTACCAAAGATCTTCGATCAGTGGCACCAGGACGCACCGTCACCTGGAGTGGAGAACCCACAGGGATGCACATTTCGAAGAACCTCAGTTACTGCAAGGTGAGTAACTTTCGCTTTTGTGGACTTTCTAAGTTCTAGAGCTCTGAACCATGGTCCTGAATTATTCCTGTCTTCAAACCTTATTAAAAGGGGACTTGGTATTTGGTAATGTGTGTTGGCTTCTCCTTGACCCAGGCTGTTAAAGCAAAAAAAATTGCTGCCCCAACTGGGGGAAATTTAAGGTGGGGTGCATCTGCAAACCAGGCTGTAAGGGGGTACATGCAGATGGCCCACACCTTTACAGAAACCTATAAACAATACTGTAGGTCATTTCAGTAGCATGACATAACATCAAAAGTGGAATTTTATTATTGTGAAAGGGGGGAAGCGTTTACTTGTACAAAGACAATTGCATGAGATGTACACCTTTGGGCTAAACTAGTTTTCAACTCTGCCAAGTAGGAGACATTAAGTTTGATTACCATTCTCCCACTCTCTTTCTCCTTGGAGTGGGAACACACAGAAAAGCAGATGTTGATCCTTTGGGAAAGGGAAAGTGAAAGCGCAGGGGTAGAACCTCCCATCAGCCAGAAGTTACATGCCCTGTTGGTCCAGTCTTCTTTGGGTAGAAAGAAGATGTCAACAATGTGACTGATTGAGAGGGAGGAAATTAAAGTGGTGGGGTGTGTGTGTGTGTATGTGTGTGTGGAAAGGCAGAAATCCTCAAATTATATAGTGTCTTTTTGGGAGGGGATGTTTTGAATATTGAATGTAAATGTGATTAGTAACTAAAGATCAGTCCTGGAGAAATGAATGATACAGCAGAACACTGGACATAAGTTCTTTAAAGCTTTTATACTTTCAAATAATTTCTGCTATAAGCTCTACTAAAATTATTGTAAAATAATTACATGAAGATTATGACATAGATAAATATAGTAATTTCTGGATTTTACATCTTTTGGCCTTTTTATTATAACTAATAACAAAAAGTTGAGAAATACAGTATAAACTAACTTTTCCTACTGTGGTAAATACTGACAGATTTAATACTGAAAAGAAGCTAGTATACAAAACTGAATCAGTTGCAAAGTTCTGGAAATAATTTCAAGTGGAAAGTACTAATTTAAATGTCCTTCTTTACTTTCTTCCAATTTGACAATTATACCAGTATTCAGTTTGGTTCCATCATTTATAAATATAAATTTGTTTTCCTCTTATTTAGTCATGCAATTTTATAAGAAATACCATGCAACAATACTAAAACTATTGTTTTTTGCTATTGTTCAGTGTAAGTCAAGTAGCTGCTGCTGTTCTGAAATCTTTTGACCAGTCAGAGTTTATATCAAGCATATCTTTCCAAGAAAAATTGTGAGCAATAATTAAGTCTCCCATATAGTCCTATTCAAAGGCAGTAAACTATGAAAACAAATTTTCAGTGTAATAGATCAAAGCACCAATACATTTTGCTTTGAACCTGGATAAAGCTGCATTTCATTTTTTAAAGAATTAGTAATTACTTATAAAAGATGTATATTTTTGCAATATTTCTGGAAATGTCAGAACTTTAATTGTCATTGTTCAAAGAAGTACAATATTAAATTAATAATGTCTCCCTCATCCTCTCTGTATTACATTTTATAAATGTTTGTGTCTGTACTTTTGCTCAGCTTTTTTGTCATTCATTTTAACAGCTCAAAGAACAAAAAGACACTGAGACAGAAGTGGAAAAGAAGTTAACTGAACCACAGAAAAAGGTACGTTCATTTTACTTCCTAGATGGAGCATATACTTCAGTTAATTATATGATACTATGAAATACACCATATACACTGTACCTGTAATATATTTGCCTTATCAGACTTTTTCTACCTCCAGTGGTTACTTTCCCTACACTTCACTGATAACTAAACTAATACCATTTTGTTTAACTCTCCTCTCTTTGTTACTTTCTGCTTGTCATCCACATGGCTGTAGATAACATATCTAATTGACTCAGTCCTCTCTTCTACTCACTCTCCCTTTGTAATGAATATGGACTCACACTATTCTTAGTCATGGTAGTGAGGTTTGGTAGGAAGAACTCGCAACTAAGCATAGTTCAGTTGTTGTCCAGCTGAAATGTGGCAGCCCTAATAAAGCAATCTGAACGTAAGAACATCAGAAAACTACTCAATATGCAAAACTACTCAAGATAGTTAAGTCCCAGGCAGACTGTGAAGAGCTACAAAACGATCTCTCAAAACTGGATGACTGGACAACAAAATTGCAGATGAAATTCAGTGTTGATAAATGCAAAGTAATGCCCATTGGGAAACATAATCCCAACTATATGTATAAAATGATGGGATCTAAATTAGCTGTTGCCACGCAAGAAGGAGATCTTGGAGTCATTGTGGGTACTTCTCTGAAAACATCTACTCAGTGTGCAGCGGCAGTCAAAAAAGCAAACAGAATGTTGGGCATCATTAAGAAAGGGATAGATAATAAGACAGAAAATATCATATTGCTCTATATAAATCCATGGTACGCCCACATAGAATAACAGTGTCATAGAATCACAGAATATCATCTTGAATACGGTGTGCAGATATGGTCACCCCAGCTCAAAAAAGATATACTGGAATTGGAAAAGGTTCAGAAAAGGGCAACAAAAATTATTAGGGGTATGGAATGACTTCCGTATGATGAGAAATTAATAAGACTGGGACTTTTCAGCTTGGAAAAGAGGTGACTAAGGGGGGATATGATTGAGGTCTATAAAATCATGACTGGTGTGGAGAAAGTAAATAAGGAAGTGTTATTTATGCCTCATAACACAAGAACTAGGGGTCACCAAATGAAATTAATAGGCAGCAGGTTGAAAACAAACAAAAGGAAGTATTTTTTCACACAACACACAGTCAACCTGTGGAACTCTTTGCCAGAGGATGTAGTGAAGGCCAAGACTATAACAGGATTCAAAAAAGAACTAGATAAATTCATGGAGGGTAGGTCCATCAATGGCTATTAGCCAAGATGGGCAAGAAGAGTGTTCCTAGCTTGTGTTTGCCAGAAGCTGGGAATGGGCAACAGGAAATGGATCACTTGATGATTACCTGTTCTGTTCATTTCCTCTCGGGCACCAGGCATTGGCCACTGTCGGAAGACAGGATACTGGACTAGATGGTCTGACCCAATATGGCCATTCTTATGTTCTTATGTTCCTAATTTGGGCCTATCACCCTGTCTAACACTTACAGGGCCTTTCTACGCTGCAGGTTACTGGGTGGCAGGTAGTTGTAAGCTAAACCATATTCCAGGACTTTTAGGGTATGTCTAAATTGTGATAAAAAACCTACAGCACCAAGTCTCAGAGGCTGGGTCAGCTGACTCAGACCAGCTGCAGCTGTGCTGTGGGTCTTTTATCACAGTGTAGATGTACCCTCAGTGTGCTTGAGCAGTTTCCACATGGGACATTACTATGTGTGCAAACTGGTGTGCTGTAGATTCATACCTTGGTTTGCCACGCAGTAAATTGCTGTGTAAATAGGCACTTTAAAAATAACTGAAAGAATCTAAATAATGAGATTTCTTTTTTATTATGGGTATACTCCAAATTTTCTTTATACTAATAGGAATATGCAACATTAATGATTACATCTGTCTCCCCTATTCTCTGCCTGTGGCACATAGTAGTTTAGTCTCCTGTGGGCTGTAATACCCAGATCTAATTTCAATTGTTGAGTTTAGTGTTTGAGTGCTGAGTGGTGTTGGTGACCTGTGATATACAGGAGGTCAGACTAGATGATCTGATTGTCCCCTCTGGCCTTAAATTTTATGGCTCTAGACAGTTTCAAATTTGCGCATAGCATTTGTTCCCAACTTTCAAACAATAACAATGTCCATCTTGTAAAATAAATCTATAAATCTGAGATAAATCTGTTAATCAACAGTTAAAATATATTAACTAATCTTACTACAGTGGACCTATCTGTACTCAAAGCATATGTTAAAAAATTAAGTAACTGTTGACTCTCTTGAGGTGAATATTAGGATTTATTGACCGAAGAGGAAAATACTGACCAATGTGAGGGTTTTTTGTGTTTATGGGGGGGGAGGGGGGGAGGGAGGCTAAGAATATATGGGCAGATTTTTCAAGATATTTAGGCACCTAAACATGCAGGCAGTGGGATTTTCAAAAGCACACCAAAAATTAGGCACCTAGGTCTATTAAAAATCTCACTATCTGCATCTTTATGTTTCTAAATACCTTGAAAAACCTGGCCCATTGTCAAGTAAATGTGATGGCTGCCAGAACCCTTAAACTTTGCAGTCCTTGCAAAGAATGATTTTTTTTTGTAACCTTTTGCATGTGTAGTTTTTATTTGGAATGAGATGAGGACTCCACCTGTTTACACGAAGGTGTAATGAGCATGTGATGTGAGAAAATTAAATTGTTATCTAATCTTCTTGATGTTCAGGCTGTTATATTCAGCATACCCTTCTCCCTCTTTTTGTTGAGCCAATGCCAACATTTCTCCAGAAAAAAATCCTCATTCACTTTATGCATCCAGATTCCCAACCAACCTTACAAAAATAAAATTCAAGCCTGCTTTATTAATAAAACTAAAATGTAATCAAAGATTTCTGTGAAACTATTAAATCATCAGCACATTACCAGTCCTCACTGAGGGACTGTATGGCTCGGGGATTTACTATAGGGATATGGTACCACCCACCTTTCGGGTCACCAGTTTTAATTTGGTTCATGTCAGCATAGTTACTGAAAGCAGTTACTCTCTGATGACTCCCTGGTAGTCTGCATGAAATGAACTGCGATCTCAGGCCTGATCATTGGCTGGCTCCCTTCGTTTTTCTTCCTCTTTCCATGAGGTAGACACCTTCCTGTGTAATTATAGCTAGGTGAATGTAGAGAGGGAAGGTATGGTATCTCATACATAAGTCTTGTTCACTATCTCCAGGCTGGCCATTATAATAAATCCCACATCATACTTGTTATAAATAGAGGTACATACTGAGAAAGAAATACACATATCTTCTGGCTCTATTAATATGTTATTTTAAGAGGGGTTTTTTAGTGAAAAATGGTTAATATTTTTCTAAAAATTGACTGTCTCTCCTAAATAGGGATGGTTGGCAAGTATGACTCCATAACCTGCTAAGATTAGTAATTTGAACTATTCAACCTAACTGTAGGGAGGAAACAAAGAACCTAATCTAACAGAAGAAATCTGAAAGTAACTATGTTTAAAGTTGATGTTTTTGAACCATCTTCTGTACATCTCACTCATTTCCGCTCTTCACCAAAGAGTGTATAGTGAGTCTGACTGTATAGTGAGACTCATGCTAACTTGTTTGGCCTTTTGGACTGTAAATGAATAATACTGTTATTCAAAGTTTTGTTTTTTTAGAAAAAAATGTCTTTTTGTTTCAGCCAAACAAAATTCTTCCACTTGTGGTCTTCCTTAATGTTTCAGAGAACTTTGTTTAATATCTGCAAGAAAAAAACTAGACACCTCTTAATGAACAAAAGATTTATCTTTTGTTTCATCATGTCTAAAGACATACTGAATTTAGGATAGACAAAGGTTTTGTTTGACTAAAGTTTGCTGTAATTCTTGATCTTCCTAAAACTTCAAATAATAGCACATAGCAAGCAAGTGCTTAGAAGTTAATGTCTAAATCGATGTATTAATCACCTTAACTTTTTCGAAGCTGTATTTCTTACAACAGTTATTTGGTGTAACTTATTAATCATACTTTATATTTGGAAATCCATGGCATTTGGTGGGAACAGCACACATGGTGAGATAAACTGAAGTTGAGGCAGGTCTGAAAGGAAGGACAGAAACATTACCAGCAAACTGAAGTTTATAAAATACTTCAAAGCAGGATTTGTTGCTATTAATACATAAAATACAGTATATTGTTGAGTTTGGTGTTTGCTATCTTTAAGTATATCTCAAATAAAACATTACAAGCATGGAGGTATATCAGGTCAGGAGCGAGTTGCAGTGACAGAATGCCTTTATTCAAGTATTTCTTTAATTATTATTTAGATTTCTATAATAATAAGACACCTATTCAAAGTTCTTGGTGCCCTAATACACCGTTAATCATACAATGAAACCCCAGTAGCATTACAGTAATTGTTTCAACAGGTACTCAGCCAACCTGCCACTTACAAAAACTCCTTTCCACCTTTTCATTCTGAGAAGCCTACCCTCAGCCCTCTCAGAAAATCTGATCAAATAGATGTTTTTTGCAGCATGCTCGGAAGGTCACCAAATCTGGACTATTTCAGACCAAGGGGGAGCAAGATTCAGTGTCCTGGAGCCTACAGAGAATGCCCCGTTGGCTACTCCTTTTCTTTTATAATGAGAGGGATCCAGCTCAAATGCAGGTAGTGACCACAACTGTGGCAATATGACATGGGCAGAAAGTTGATCCCTCAGGTGGGCTAGTCCCAAGCCCTTTAGGATTTTATGGATTGTAACTAACACCATAAATTCTATGCAGAAAGCCCAATGGGAAACCAGGGCAGATCCTGGCGCACTGGAGTCATGTGCACCCAGCATGATGCCTCACACAGTAAGCAAGCCATTGCATTTTGTACCAGCTTCAGTCCCAAATAGTATTAAAGCACAGCCCCATGTAGTGCATCATGCAATTGTTTAATCGTGAGGTAACAAAAGCATGAATAACAACATGGTCCACATCCAGAAAGAAAGGTTGAACATGCACACGCCAGATG